CATATATTATCTCAGTATACTTCCTTCAATAGGAAACAATACAGTGCATGTATTATTTCTAAAATATAAAGTACACATTTATTATATATAAAATAAAAATTATATACATATACATATATATACATATATATATATATATATATATATAATGTTCTCTTTTATTTGCATTAAAGAGAACTGGCAGGTAGAATACTTCCCCTCATTACATTAAGTATGCTGCTGAGTCCTAAAAGCAAAGTTGATATTCCTGCTTTATGAAGGTATAAAGTTCCATTAGACTGCAATACTGCAAATTAAATGGTGAAGTGCTGACTAAAATGAGAGTGTGAATGTACACATACATGCACATGCACATATTGGGCATCAGTGATTGAGCATCAACCTATTAACCAGAAGGTCACTGTTCAATTCCTGATCAGGAAACATGTCCAGGTTGCAGGTTCGATTCCCAGTGGGGGGCACGTAGGAGGCAGCCAATTCATGATTCTCTCTCATCATTGATATTTCTCTCTCCCTCTCTTTTTTCCTCTGTGAAATCAATAAAAACATATTTTTAAAATAAGATAAAACACTATGGGGAAAAGAGATTTAGAATAAACCTACTTAGGAACAGATCATAAAAGGAATTTAAATCAAATTTTATAAGATGCCACAGAAATAACATTTTTTTTTTAATGGACAGAAATCGGATGGTTTACTTTGTATCATTATTATTAAAGAAACAAAAATATTTTTTCCCCACCCAGGACTAATGGCATTTAACTGTAATGGTGTAAAAAGCAAGGGGATAAGAGACAGAAGGCCAGAGAACAGAAAATAAAGTACTCCCTGAGCGCTAGGCGGTCTTTCAGCAGTCTGGACCGAGACAGATAAATCTTCTCTAGGGATATGATCAACTTTTAACCTCCTGTTTTCCTAACCTTTTTGTGTTGATACTTATTCACCAGGGCCTCACCCCATAACAAGCAGCGGAGATGCTAGAGTGGAGAGATAAAATGAAATGCATTCTGCCCATGATCTGGCATTGCTGCACTGTGAGTTCCAAATTCTCTCAGCTATAAATTATTCAAAAACTCCAGCATGTTCTTCTGCAAACAACGGAAGCACTTTACACTTCATAGTAATTTGTACTCAGTAAATGCTCCATATAATTGTTACAGCAGTGAATTACACATACTTTAATCTTTCTCTTACTGACATGTTCTTTCATTGATCTCTAATAGGAAAGGAGACTTTCTGATCTTTAGAGAGCACTTAACTTTACTGAAAGTCACGGATCACCTGAACCAACCCACTGGGTGCCTTTAAAAAAGCATCTTTTATCAAAGGCCAGTCACAACAGGGCAGCTTTTTGGAAAATATCAGTAGTATTCCCCAAATAATGTCCAGGATCAGATCAGCACAAGAATCTAATCCGAAGTCAAATCTATTTATGTTTTTTTGTATTTCTCAAAGGCCCTACAAACTTTCCTTGCCTAGATCCACACCACCTTCTGAATAGAGGATGCCAGAAGAGATCATGTATTTGCAACTAGGACATTTGTTCAAAGAGGAACTTACCTTATTTCTTCCTGTGAAACATCTCCCATGCTCAATATAATAGTTGTCCATTTGATTATAGCTATCTAGAAGACAGGCTCTATGCCCATTTATTTTGTAGTAGAGGCCTAATGCACGAAATTCGTGCAAAAGTAGACCTTCACAGCTGGGACGGCTGCCTTGATTCCCACAGCTGCAGCCCCAGCTTCAACTGGAAGGTCGTAGGAGCGTCATTCTGCTGTTTGGGCACTCGGTCGATTTGCATATTACACTTTATTATCATAGACTAGAGACCCAGTGCAAGAAGCTCACACACTTGGTGGGAAGGTCCCTCAGCCTGGCCTGCGCTCTCTCGCAGTCTGGGAGCCCTCAGGGGATGGCTTGTATATAGTTGTCCCTAGCCCTGCTATAGAGGCAGGAGAGGATCCCGCCACCACTGTTGGGCTCACACGCCATGAGCCCAGCTTCTGGTTGAGTGGCACTCGTGGGAGCACAATGACCACCAGGGGGCAGCCGCTGCACTGAGCATCTGCCCCTTGGTGCTCTGTGCACACCACAGCGACAGGTCATTGTGCCGTTTGTTGATTTGCAAATTAACCTTTTATTATATAGGATTGCACTCATCATGATTAATTCTACACACAGCACAAGTGTGTATTACTTGCATGCTATCAAATGTCAACTGATCAGACATGCAAGTAATACACACTTACTGAGTTTCCATAGGTCCTCCAAACTAGAGGACCTGCGACTATGAGAAACACAGGGGTCATTCCAATCATCAGCCTACCTCATACTTACCTTCACAGCAGCATAGTAAAGAATTATATTATTGTAAAAAGTACAACTATGGCAGAAACCGGTTTGGCTCAGTGGATAGAGTGTCAGCCTGCGGACGGAAAGGTCCCAGGTTCAATTCTGGTCAAGGGCATGTACCTTGGTTGTGGGCACATCCCCAGTAGGGGATGTGCAAGAGGCAGCTGATCGATGTTTCTAACTCTCCCTCTCTCTTCATCTCTGTAAAAAATCAATAAAATAAAAAAATAAAAAATTAAAAAAAGTACAACTATGCCGAAACCGGTTTGTCTCAATGGATAGAGTGTCGGCCTGCGGACTGAAAGGTCCCAGGTTCAATTCCAGTCAAGGGCATGTACCTTGGTTGTGGGCACATCCTCAGTGGGGGGTGTGCAAGAGGCAGCTGATCAATGATTCTCTCTCATCGATGTTTCTAACTCTCTATCCCTCTCTCTTCCTCTCTGTAAAAAATCAATAAAATATATATTTTTTTAAAAAGAAAAAAAAAGAAAAGCACAACTATGGGAGCTTTGCCTGACAACTACTTTAATTTGAATTTGGGTGTAGAGTAAAGGCAACTGATTTCTATAATTCATATAATTAGAAATGAAGCAATTAGAGTGGAACTAAAGAAGCTCATAGCTATTTATGTGAATAATTAAGGTAGAGAATATTATCCAAACAAATGTGAAGCTAAATGGAATTTGTTTAAGGCTTATTTAATAAGACTTCTCACTGACACATGACATGAAAGGTGTATACAGACACCTTCGCATGGTGGCCGACTAGTGTATGATCACAGCAGAACAGGTTCTCACAAAAAAAGCAGGTCAGTGTGAGTGGAACAGGTGAGTGCCAGGGAAAGTGTATCAGAGCGGTAATAGGGGAAGGTTATGGCCCCTAGAAGGATTTTGTTAATCCTCACCCCAGGATATTTTTCCATTGATTTTCAGGGAGAGTGGGAGAGAGAGGGAAAGACAGAGAGAAACATAAATGTGAGAGAAACACATCCATTGGTTACCTCCAGCATGAGCCCCAATCAGGGCCCAGGCCGGGGAGGAGCCTGCAATAAAGGTATGTGCCCTTGATTGGAATCGAACCCGGAACCCTTTGGTCTGCAAGCTGAAGCTCTATCTACTGAGTCAAACTGGCTAAGGCCACTAGAAGGATTTTGGCTTCTCTGAGAGAAAATGGAACTCCATCATAGAATTATAAGCAGAGGAACACCATCTGATAGGCTTTTGAAAGGATTATTCTGGCTGTTATCTTGAGAACAGACTATAAGGGGACCCAAATACTTGTTGGAGGTTATTGTAATTATCATGCAAAAGATGATGATGCCTCAAACCATGAAGGACCAATGGAGGTGATGAAAAGTAATCGGATTCTGGATATATCTGAAGGCAGCCCAACAGTACTAGACATAGACTGTGAGCAAAGAGTCAAGGACACCACACAGGGATAATGGCCTGCACAAGTGGGAGGATAGAAGTGCCTCTCGGCACAGGCATGAAAGCTACCGATGCAGCAGGCTTGGAAGCGAGGAACAAGAGTTCAGCTGAATGTGCTGGGTTTGAGGTGTGTATTAGACATCGAAGTGGACTGACAGTTAAGAATATGAATCTTGTATTAGCGAGAGTAGGAGCATAAATTTGGAGGTCATGGCAACCACAGCACACAAAAGAGTTCACCACTGGCAGTCAACCCCAAGGACAGAGGTCAAGAAGAGGAACCAACAAGAAAACAGCAAAAGAACGGCCAGCCAGAGGAAAGCACGACCAGAGTGTGGTGTCCAGGACCAAATGAAGAAAGTGCTCCAGGGCCTGTGCACGCAGGTACCTTCCCCAACCAGGGAAATCCTGAGAGAGGATAATGAACCTGGGTTTAGATATGTTGGGGTGCACTGTCAATAATAAATAAGGGAAGGAACAGTAAGCTGTAATTTAAAAAGCTGAGTTTGTCCAATTCTTTATTTGTGACCTTATTAAGCCTCCTTTCCTATAAAGGAGGATAATATTCATACAACCGGCCACAAATGGTTATTATGTGGATCAAATGACACACTGTAAGAAAGAAAACATCAAGATCTTATAAGACACAAAGCCCTGCGGAAATGCCGTCTTCATTTCAAAGACAATAAACTCTACTTGTTCTTAACCTTTTTGTCAAACACACCTTCAACCAAATGAAACGTCACTTCTCCACCAGGACACCACTTACCTAGATGCCAATCATAGTGACTGCTGTTCACCAAACACATCTTGGTCCTTAAAATACCCCTCCTTTGGCATCTATGCTATTTCCTTTATCTGGAAGTCCTTCCCGCTTCTCATTCTCCACCCAAATTCTAACCACCCATGAAGAACTGCAAGGTCTCCTGCGTCACAAAGGTTTCCCTGCACATGACACATACCTCTCACGCCACTGACATTTTGCACAAAAGCCATATTCCTAATCAGTCTTCTAGTTGGAATTGTCTCTGCGTCCCTACAAGGTTTTGGGCTGGTGCTACTCAACAATTCACTATCAACATGTGCTTCAAGGAGACTGACCAGTTGAAACTATTTCCTAAGGGAGCTGCCATACTCACATTTTTTACTCTGTTTTTCCACTTCCGCCTTCAGCCTCTTGTACTTGTCTGTCCTGTAAACCAGAACCCAGGTGATACCTGCAACATGAAGCGCAACGTGCTCATGGGGAAATGTTTGCAACGGTTCCAACAACTGCCATTATGGCCACGGTTGGGTAAGGAAGGATTTCAACTCTTTTGCTTTATAGGCGCCAGTAGTTAAAACGGACTCTTAACCAAAAGCACCTGTAATGTGATGACAAGGCGTCTCCGCAGACACTCAAGTGACCAAAGAGACCCGGACACCGCGTGCACACGATCCCTCCCGCCCGAGTCGTGCCCGAGTCGCCGAGGTTCGCTGGGGTAGAATACATGAGCCCACGAGCAAGCAGGGCTGACGAACTCCCCGGTGTGGCGCCGGCGACCCTTGGCCTGGACCCCTCCCTCGGGGACAGCTCAGACGTCAGGGAAGCAGCGCCCTCACCCTCGGCGAGAAGAGCCGTGCACACGGAAATGAACACGATGAGCAGCGTGTCCGCGAACATGGTACTCATCCTGCACTTCCGGCTCTGCACTCCCACCCGCCGGGGGGGGAAGCGCTCGACAGCCACGGAAAATGAGCGAAAAACGACTTTCCTAGACTTCAGGACCACCGAGCAGCACCGCGCTTCTGACAGATAGGGAGCCACACTTCCGCTTCCGGGGCACAGCGCCGGAAGGGCTCCTTCCGGAGAGCGGGGCGTGGCCCTCGCGGAAAAAACGCAGCCGCGCACGGGCGGGCCTCGCGAGAATTGGAAGTTGGGTGGCCGAGGCTGGCGTGGCTTGAGACCTGGCCGTCGGCGGGGAATCCGGGGCCGGGGGCCACGTGGCCGCGCTCGGCCGTCCTCCGTCCCGGCCCGTGTTTGCGGCAAAGGGAGAAGCCGGCTTCCTCACGTGCGCCGCGCGCCGCGCGCTGCTGGGCCGCGGAGGCGGGGCGCCGCCGGCCTCCGGGGACGTCGCCCTCGGGAGGGCCCGCGCGGTGGGACGGAGGTTCGTAGACGTGTGCGCAGCGGCGAGCCGGGGAGGGGCAGCGCGCGGGAGCAGACGAAGCAGGGGCTCGGAGGAGGAGCGGAGATTGGGGAGTCGGGAACCCCGCTGTCGGCAGGGGCACAGTCGATGCCCCCGCGCGCGGGGCGGAAGGCAGTGGTGGGAGGCCCCGGGTGCGGGAGGGAGCACTGCCGTCTGGAAGGAGCAGCCTATAAACCCAGCCAGTACCCTGCGAGAACCACCACCCGCTTCCAACATCTCCCATGTTCCAGAAGGTCCAGCAGCCCTGATGTCACGTGAAAGTTCAGTTATGAGTGCTGGTAGCTCATTAGAACAATAATAAAAGACCTGCTGTGTGGGTTAAAGAAAATGTCTCAGCAGCCTGTTTTCTGCCTCATTGTGTGTGCGCGCCTGCGCGCTCATTGGCTCTTTTAAACTACAGTGCGCTTTCTAGTGCTCCGGCTCCACCGCTTTTGGCCTGATTAGTTATAGGCGCGTTTCTGTGTTCTCGTCACACTAGAGGCAGAGACCCTGTTCCTGAGCAGACATTGAGCTCGTGCCTGGGGCCGGACAGGGGTGGGCACTGCAGGGCCAGAGAGGGTGGCACGGGTACTATTACGTTACGCATTGTAAGAAGGGGTAATAGCGATGGGTATTCATAAAATGTGGGAGCACATAGGAGGGCAAGGTAACTTTCTGGAGGAATTGGAGGAGCTTTTCGTGTGAGCTACACCTTGACTTGAGTGGTTCAGGCAGGGTAGGTTTTTCATCAGCCTGGCATGGCCGATGGTAAATGTGGGGGTGCAATGAGAACGTGACCTTGAAGTAACACCTGGTTCTGTTCTGGCTGTGTCACTTAATTGACAGTCGTTCTGAGCATATGGTTCCGCCTCAGTTTCCTTATCTGTAAAATGATAACACCAGCTTCGTCTACTGTTGCAGAGAGCATGAGGAAGGATAAGTTATAAAGCTGTTCCTGGCACACACAGTTCATCAAATGCAGCGTGCTGTTGACTGGAAGATGGGCCATCATTGTATATCCTACCGGGAAAGAAAAGAAACGGCGAATGAAGCTGTGGTGCCCCGTTGGTTGGAAGATGCGTTTTATTCTGTGTTAAAATATGAGGGGGAAAGCCGCAGGGAAGTGAAAAGCATTGCTCAGGTCCCTGAGCACGGCTACTACAGAGGACGGTTCCTTCTCCAGGGTACCCATGTCGTCATATCCTGGGCCCCACGTGGAAACCAGTGCTAGAGGCAAATTCATATAACGGCTCTTCTGCATCCTACGGGTTCCTTTGTCATGTTTCCAGGTTTTCTACGCTCTCGGGTTTTCCCCATGAAGACCACCCACCAGAGTTCACTGTGCTCCCGTTTCTAGGACAAGGCTTTTGTCCTGAGACGTCCTTTTACATCCTCTAGGGCGGGGTTTGCTGTTCCCTGGATCCGCATCTCCCTCCTTTGTCTATACTTTGTTTTTGTAGTACATCCTCAGGTGACTTCCTGTGAAAAGTAAATGACAAATACGCCTGCAGTGTTCTCACATTATTAGTGGGCTTAGTAATAATACTGTTCTTTTAAAAAATGTTCAGTACTAAGCCGAAACCGGTGTGGCTCAGTGCATAGAGCGTTGGCCTGCGGACTGAAAGGTCCCAGGTTCAATTCTGGTCAAGGGTATGTACCATGGTTGCAGGCACATTTCCCAGTAGGGGGTGTGCAAGAGGCAGCTGACCAATGTTTCTCTCTGATGTTTCTAACTCCCTATCCCTCTCTCTTCCTCTCTGTAAAAAAAAAAAAAAAAAATCAATAAAATATATTTAAAAAAAAAAGAAGAAGAAGAAAGAAGGTCTCCACCTGGACCCCCATAAAAAAAATGTTCAGTACTAGGCTAGGAAAGGTAAAAAGTTAAGAGAAATTTAACCCCTCTTATAACAGGTATGGAAAGATAACAGGCTTCAGGGTTTTTTTTTGTTCATTTGTTTTTATATTTTTAACTAGAGGCCCGATGCAGAAAATTAGCGCAAGGGCTGGGCCCTCACAGCCCCGGCTTCATTCAGAAGGTCATCTGGATGGTCATTTATCTGTTCAGCCGTTTGCTTATTACTCATTACTGATTGTAGAGAGGAACAGAGAGGGAGAGATAGAAGCATCCTATATAATAAAAGGGTAGAATGCAAATTGACCCTTAAGGCAGAAAAACTGCTTGACCATTCACTATGAGGTGCACTGACCACCTCTTGATCCCTCCCCCTGGCTAGGAGGCTCCGATTACCTAATGGTGAATAGGGAACTGGGGGTGGTTGGTGGCAAGGAGCAGGGCTGGCTGTGGGAGCTGGGTAAAATGGCCCTGATTGCAGGCCAGGCCTAGGGACCGTACCTGTGCACAGATTTTGTGCACTGAGCTTCTAGTTGAGGGCGGATCATTGGTTGCTGTCTGCAGGCCCAGCACTGGGCATCAAGTGCACAACTCCAGGGCCTGTGCCCAAACCCGGCTCCAACCATGACCTGGTTCATGAGTCAACCACAATCACTATGCTACACCAATTGGGCAGGGCTTCAGGTTTGACTTCTAACCCAATTCATGCAAGCTGTAGTACTTGAGCAAGTGATTTAATTTCTATGGGCCTCATTTGAAAAAAAAATCTTTATATAGCACTTCCAATGAATGGCACAATATACTAGGATTATATCCCAAGAAACTAGGAACACCAATCAGAAAGGATATATGCACCCCTATGTTCATAGCAGCACAATCTACAATAGCTAGGATTTGGAAACAGCCTAGGTGCCTGTCAGCAGATGATTGGATCAAAAACCAATGGTACATCTACACAATGGAATACTATGCTGCCATAAAAAAGAAGAAATTCTCGCCGAAACCGGTTTGGCTCAATGGATAGAGCGTCGGCTTGGGGACTGAAAGGTCCCAGGTTCGATTCCGGTCAAAGGCATGTACCTTGGTTGTGGGCACATCCCCAGTAGGGGGTGTGCAAGAGGCAGCTGATCGATGACTCTCTCTCATCGATGTTTCTAACTCTATCTCTCTCCCTTCCTCTCTGTTCAAAATCAATAAAATATATTTTTTAAAAAAAGAAGAAATTCTCATCATTTGCAGCAACCTGGATGGAATTGGAGAACATCATGCTGAGTGAAATAAGCCAGTCAATGAAAGAAACACCACATGACCTCACTCATTTATGGATAATAACATTATAAACTGATGAACCAAAAGATAGATATAGAGACAGTAAAGCAACAAGCAGACTGTCAAATTACAGCAGGTAGGGTAGGGAGATCTGGGGCAGATAACAGATAAACCGAAGGACTTGTATGCATGCATATAAGCATAACTGATGGACACAAAACTCTGGGGAGGGAGGGTATGAATGGGAGGGGGGGGGGCAATGGTAAGATATGTACACAGATAATTTAATTAAATTTTAAAAAAAACATGAATGGCACAATATGGATTAATCCTAGAAATACAGGGTGGAGCAAAAGTAGGTTTACAGATGTGGGTACAAGAAACAGTTCACTTTTGTATTATTTTCCACAAAACAACTATAAACCTACTTTTGTCTCAACTGTATAATATAGTGTGAAAAGTAATTTCTTAAAAATTATATACAGCATGCATTAAACTTCATAAAATTAATAACTAAAAATTCCTCCAAACACTGTTTAGGATGTTAAAAGAAAAAGCAAGAAAATGATGATTTTGCTGGTGTTGCCTTGAATGGGAAAAGGCTGGGTGAGGTAATGGAGCATCAGAGGTGAATGTAAATGTAAGTTTATGTCCTAGTTTCCCTGTTGGTGGTGATGTCATGGAAGTGGCAGCATGAAGAGAATGTCATGAGCCAAGAATAATGATGAATCTGGTTTTCTGCATCTGAGGTCCAAAATGTTTTCCTGTCGCATTCAGCTTTATACCTGATTGATATAAGAGAAGAAAGGGGGGCAGCAATCTTTTAAACTCCATGCCATCAAGTAAAAAGGGTATTTTAAAAAATGTCACATTTCTTTTGTGGCTTCACTTACCCTCTCGTCGTTTGCCACTTTTTTGTTGTTAATCCTCACCTGAGGATGTTTTTTCCATTGATTTTTTTTGGGGGGAGGGAGGGGGAGAAAGAGAAACATCAATGTGAGAGAGAGACATCAATTGGTTACCTACTGGGGCCAGGGATTGAACCTGAGGCCGTTTCAGTGTGCTTGCTGATGCTCTTAACCACTGAGCAACAACAGCCAGGGCTGATTGCCACTTTTGCCTGGGCATTTCAGCTTCCCGATTTCAGAAGATTGATGATAATGGAAAAATCAGAATATTTTAAGCTAGATGGTAAGTTTGCAAAATAAGCAGTGTTTTTTAAAATATATTTGTTATTGATTTCAGAGAGGAAGGAAGAGGAAGAGAGAAAGAAACATCTTTAATGAGAGAATCATTGATCGGCTACCTCCTGTACATTCCCCCTGGGGATCAAGCCTGCAACAGGGGCATTGCCCTAACCAGAAATCAAACTGACCTTCTGCTTCAGAGGTTGACAATCATTGGGCCACAATGGCTGGGCAGCAGTGTTGTTTTTTAATTGGACTGGAAGCTTTAGATAGGGTGGATTCATTTGGAGCAATATTGCATCAGGAA